TTTCCCTAGGGATCTGTGAGAGAGAGAGAGAGAGAGAGAGAGAGAGAGTGTGTGTGTGTGTGTGTGTGTGTAAAAAGTTGTGGACCATTCCAAAAGCAATTACCATTGTCAAAATATTCTAGAAGAGTTACTTCATTCACTAAAAGATGAATACTATTTATTCAACTGTCGTATTTCATGAGCTTCAAATTAACCTGAAATAAAACATCTAATGTGGTATAGTTAAAAGATGATGGCCTTGGAGTTAGACCTTGCTGTGTTTATCTGTATTCATTTAATCAACAAATCTTAATCTTGTTATGAACTGTGCTTTGACAGTAAGTGAATAACCTTAGGTAAATTTTCTAGCTATTTTATACTGCACCAAAATTAAGGAAAGCTGTGAACATCTATCACAGTAAGATTAACTGAATTAAGTCTATGTGTCAGGTACTAGGTAGATCTTAGGGACTATAGAAATGTATGAAATACTGTCCTTTTCCTAAAAAAGGGGGAAAAAGTTTTAGACCCCGATGTTTAGGACTCCAGTTCTTCATTTCTTAAGCTGATGACTGTTGTCATGTTAAGAGACCTTTCTACTTACAGTCCCATCACAGTGAGAAGAGACAAGCAGGAAATCTAAGTATATGACACTGCATTGATGCTCTAGTCCTTTTAAGAAGTCTGGGAAGTTACCAGAAAGCCAGTAAGCCAGTGCTTGCCTAATTAGCACAAGACAATAGAAAGCAGAATGTTTTGGAAAAGTCTCTTCAAAATGAGAGCAAAGAGAGTCAGTAGAAAGATGATTCCTCAATAAACTTTGAAAAAATAAATTTCTTAAGTCAGATGCTTTTAAGAACATATTTTCTTTTTGCAGAGTCTGATTGCTGGTGAAGAATATAATTTTTATATGAAAATATACAGTGAAATACAGTGACATGAGAGATTAAAATACACATGTATTTTAGATTTGACTTTTTGTTGTTGTTATTCTTGTATATGGTGATAAAATTTTCTACAGTTTTTTTCCCCCAGTTTTAATCAAGTTTTAGTTTCTGTTTTAAATTTAAATAAAGGAAGAACATTCATTCATTACATTTTATTTGGCCTCTCCTACATACCAGACATTGTTTTAGGAGCTGGACACTATTCTAGACTGTCTTTCATACTTTCATTTTTGCCTCTGCAAATAAAGCAGACTTCTAGGGGATTGTGGTAATATGCCACTCCTTCCATGGACTTTTTTTTTTAATAAATGTCAGGGTCAGATAAAAAGGCAAGTTAGAGCAAAGAGTAGTTGACACTCTTTTTGTTTTTTTTGGTTTTTTTTAATTTATTTTATTTATTTATTTTTGGCTGCGTTGGGTCTTTGTTGCTGTGCGTGGGCTTTCTCTAGTTGCAGCGTGCGGAGGCTACTCTTTGTTGTGGTGCGCGGACTTCTCATTGCGGTGGCTTCTCTTGTTGCAGAGCACGGGCTCTAGGCATGCAGGCTTCAGTAGTTGTGACATGCAGGCTCAGTAGCTGTGGCTCGTGGGCTCTAGAGCACAGGCTCAGTAGTTGTGGCAGACGAGCTTAGTTGCTCTGCAGCATGTGGGATCTTCCCGGACCAGGGCTCGAACCCATGTCCCCTGCATTGGCAGGTGGATTCTTAACGACTGCGCCACCAGGGAAGCCCGACACTCTTTTTATTGCTTTGCTTTGTCTTCTGCTTCTTAGCGCCATTTCTGCTGAGAGAATAAAAGGAAAAATAACTTCTTAATATACATAAATATATATTTATATTATATGCTATGTGGTATTATATATATTTAATATGCATAAATATAAAGGTCTTATATCTTAGACCAATTGAAGTATTTGTCAATGAAATGATGCAAAATGGGGTTTTCTTGTAAATACACATGTAAAAAAAAAAAAGATGGGGTAGGAACATGTGAAACACGATTAGCGAAATACTGATGATTATTAAAGCTGAGTAATGGATATATGGGGTTCATTATTCTATTCTCTCTACTTTTGTGTATGTTCAAAATTTCTCATAATAAAAAAGTTTTAATAAAAAGGGAGATGCCAAAGGCTATGGCTCAGCCAAGAGTATTTGTGGAGTCCCGACTTTCAGTTGTCAACACCATGCTTTTCCCTTTGCTAGACATGCTTTCCTCATCGGCAAGCAGCCCTGCTCCTGATCCCGCTCCTGCCCCTGCTCCAGCTCCAGCTGCTCCTCAGCCTTCAAAAATGGCCAAGCCATTTGGGTATGGTTATCCGGCTCTGCAGCCTGGATATCAGAATGCTGCAGCACCACTTAATTCCGGAGTGCCGCCCGGTAGCCCAGCATATTCTGGATTCCAGCAGTATGCTCAAGTATGTATTTAGTCATAAAAAAAAATCATATAAAAATTGTGAAACTATTATCAATTCTGACAAATCCCTGTTGATTCAAATGGATCATAGGTATGAATACAGGTAAGTCTAGATCAAACATACATAGAATTTGATTCCAGTTTGTGTGTGTGTGTGTGCGTGCACACATGCGTACATAGAAGAAGATAAAAGGTATTACTGTGATTTTTCTTTTCTGCATTGTACTTCTATTTTTCAGGGGCTCTGCAATGTACAGGTATTAATTTTATGATCGGGAAATTAAAGTAAATGTTATTTTAAATTCTGTATTACTAAGCTGCCTTTCTCCTCAAAAAATGACATGGTATAAGTGTGGTTTGGGATTTTGGCCTCAGTTTTTAACTTGAAGAACTCTCGGTGACATATAACTGAAATTGGTAAAAGCCTCCATACACATACGTGCTCATTAATACATTTGTTCATAATTACTGCCATGACCTCTTTTGACATGACCTTTCTTGGAGTTACCTGTTAAATACCATATCAGTTTAATAATAGGACAGTAAGTATTTTACATTTATATTTATTGGGAAAAAAATAACATATAAGGAAACGATTTAAATGGCAGAAGCATTCTACTTACAATAAAAAACTGCTCGTAGTAGACTCACCTTACAGAAATTTCATGTGGTGGTGAACTGATGAAAATTAGAGGGGAAATAAGAAAACCATTTGTTCCTGGAATTTAATCTTAGAATTAAAGCACAGAAGAAAGAAGGAAACTGGGAGAGGCACTGGAGAAATGTGGTTGGTTAGTACAGATTTCCCTGCCTTCCATTTTGTTAAATATTCTTCATGAATATTTATTGGTCCAGATGGAACACCATTATTTCAGGGTAACTGAGCAATAATGATTTAAGCACATAGCTAGGATGTGCTTTTAAATTCTTACCTGTGTACTAAAAACAAGGTTATAGATTTTAATCTAATCTTAACATTAACAAGCTAATTTTAAAAGCAGCCATTTATTTTTGAATCCTAGTTAGAATATTTTAATTTAACTTTTAGCAGCTTTCTATAGTAAAATTGAAATGCCTTTAAATGTTGCATTTAGTATAACCCCAGTGGGAGGGTTCTGAAATCTAAGGGCTTTCTTTGTGTTCATTTATTTATGATGACCTTTATTAAGTAGTGGGAAACCCCAATGGCTGTCCTTTGAGGAAGAAAAAAACTTAAAATTAGTTTTTCAGGGTAGAAAAACAGGTAAAAAGTTGATGTTTAAAAATGAAAATAAAAAATAGAAAAATATTTTAGTGAATATGTAAAAAACCAGATACAGATACTGTATGGCTTTTTTTTTTAACCAAAAAAGAATGTGCATGATCAACTGTAGGAAAATGCAGATAAGCAAAATAGAAGAAAATAAATATCAATCAATACACCCACCATCAAGATTTAAAAAGTAACAGTTGGAGGCTATCCTTTTGGGTTTCTTGCTGTATGCATTTGCAGGAGAAAGCCAGTAAAGAAGCTGGTCATGTAAATGACTTATTTACACAAACAAATAAGCTGATAAATATGGGCATTGTTTTGCATTTTTTTAAAATCCTTGAACAGCATAAGAGGAAACCTTTCTATATTATTACATATCCTTCATCTGATAGCTGCATAACATTTTATAATCACCCAGTCTGCCACTGTTGGACATAACTTGAGTGTCAAAGTCAAAATACACACGTGTGCACAAACCTTGTGCATTCGTCTCATTATTTCCTTAGATGAAATCTCTTCAGGTGAAATTAGTGAATCATAGCACCTAATTTCACCAGTCTTTAGGATTTCTCTCTACTTATTCATTCAGTGAAAACTTAATTGAGTTTCTACTGTGTGGCAGCCCTACTCTAGGCACTGAGGTTACAAGAGGAAGCTAAGTGAACAAAACAGAGTTCCCTCTCTCAAGCAACTTGGTGGGAAGGCAGGGCCAATGGGACAGTAAGTAAGTAAAGCAATAAATTAACAAACTAGTTTCAGGGACTTCCGTGGCAGTCCAGTGGTTAAGACTTTGCCTTCTAGTGCAGTGGGTGCAGGTTTGATCCCTGGTCAGGGAGCTAGGATCCCCATGCCTAGTGGCCAAAAAACCAAAACATAAAACAGAAGCAATATTGTAACAAATTCAATAAAGACTTTAAAAAATAAAAACAAAAACAAGCTAATTTCAAATAGTTACAAGTGCTATGAATCAAGAGGAGTGGAAGAAATTGCAGGCATTGGGTATAAAGAGTAAACAGTCAGGAAGGCCCTCATTATAGAAGTTATGTTTGAGTTAATATTTGAATGATGGGAAAAGCCAGACATGGAACAGTCTGGGGGTAGAGGATTTCAGGCTGAGGAAACATATATACAGAAACGTTAAGGCAGGAGCAACTTTAACATGTTCTAGGACCAAAGTCCCAGTGTGGCTGGAACTCACTTAGCAATGGGAAGAATAATAGGAATCAGATCAGAGAGCTAGGGAAGAACCATAGTCAGAAGCTTGGATTTTACCTCAAGTGCAAAGGGAAAACATAGGAGATTTTATGTAATGGAATGAAATCTGATTTACGTATTTAGAGACTCATTTGGCTACTATGTGAAGAACGGATTAGGGCTGGGAGTATTTGAAAAGATAAAAATGGAAACAGGGAGACAAATGGAAGCTTTGCCATCATCCCAGAAATAGAAGATTGTGCTTTCTTCTAAGGTGGTATTGGCAGAGGTAGTGAAAAGTGGATGGATAAGGGATATCTTTTGACTTATTGATGGATTGGATGTGGTGGGTGAGAGAAAGGAAGCATCAATAACACTTAGGGTTTTGGCAGGGCATCTGGATAGAGGGTAGTATATTTACTTAGATGGTAAAGACAGAGGAATAGTTCTGGGAATAGGAATCGAACTGGCCATATTAAGTTAGAATACCTAATAGACATCCAAGTGGAGATGTATAGCAGACAGTAGTTGATCGGTATTTGGTGGTCAGGTATGGAGAAATAATGTACCAATTTATATTCCTAGCAAAAGTGTCTTTGCCTACTTTTCCGTATTACTAAGTATGCCAAGTATTCTATTTTATAAGCAAAAATATTGAATTATTTTCATAATTATTAGTTATTTGTGTTTCTTTACTGAAATCCCTGTTCATATTCTTTCACCATTATTCTATTCAGGTTCTTCTAGTTTGTAACATTTTTGTCTAATAATATATTGCAGTTTTTTCTGCCAGCTTGACACTTGTTTTTAATTTTAATGTTTTTTTTCTTAATTGGAGAAATGTTTAATTTTATGTAGTCATATTATAATTTCTTTTGTTTTTACCTTTGTATCTTTTTTTTTTTTTTTTTTTTTTTGCGGTACGCGGGCCTCTCACTGCTGTGGCCTCTCCAGTTGTGGAGCACAGGCTCCACACGCGCAGGCTCAGCAGCCATGGCTCACGGGCCCAGCTGCTCCGCAGCACGTGGGATCTTCCCAGACCGGGGCATGAACCCATGTCCCCTGCATCGGCAGGCGGACTCTCAACCACTGTGCCACCAGAGAAGCGCATTTACCTTTGTATCTTTTAAAAGTCTTTTCAACCTTAAGATTAGGGAAAAATTCCCTCTCTCTATATTTTTTTACTTTGGTGATTTCACTTTTTTGCATCTTTTAAGGTTTTGTTTTGGTACATAATGTAAATAATAAATCTCATTTCTCCCCCCCATATATATTCAATAGTTAGCTCTAATTTCACTGATATTTATTAAATAATCTATCTTTCCTCATTGATTAAATATTCCACCGTTATTTTGTATCCTAAATTCTTAAATTTAAATTCTTAAATTCTAAATTCTTATCTTAAACTTAGGTCTATTTGAGGTTTTCTATTATACACTGTTACTGATCCATGTAATCATTTTTGTCTCCTCCTTTACAGCTCTACTGAAAACTGAAAGAATCTCTTGTATTATCCAGTTTTGGTTTTTTTTCCTTAGGATCATCAGCTTCAGTTACTGTCAACAGTTTGTTATACTTGTTTGACCTATCCTTTACACACACACACACACACACACACACACACACCCCTACCTTTTCTTACTGAGGGTTTTAAAGCTAATCCTGGGCAAGGGGAGGCAGGGAGATGGAAAAGATAATTTCTTGCAAACCGTAATACCACTATCATATCCAACAAAATTAACAATAATTTCTAAATGTCGTTTAAAATTCAGTCCATCTTCAGATTTGCCAGACTGTTTCAGTATTGCTCTTCTGTAGTTGGTTTATTCAAATCAGGAGCTAAGCAAGACTTACTAATTGCATTTGCTTATGTCTCTTTAATTCTCTTTTTAATTTAAAAACAAAGCTCCACCTCCATTTTTTGTGCCTTTGATCTTTTGAAAAACCTGGGTCTCTTGTCCTGTAGAATGTTGCACATTCTGAATTTGGCCGATTGCTTCTTGTGGTATCATTTAACTCGTTCCTCTGTTCCATTTTCTATGTATTAGAAATTAGATCTAATGGCCCAATTATAGTCAGGTATATTACTTCATTTATTTATTTCCCTAAGCCAAAATATAATATATTTTGGTTCTGTGTACATCATAATAATACTTGGTTGTCTCACTTTTAGTGGTGTTAGGCTTGATTAGTGAGTTCATATGGTGACAACCTGATATTTTCATTGTGAGGTTCCTCATTATGCTTTCACCCAGTGGCTTTATCATCTATTGATATCTGTTTATCATCTATTCCAGATGACCATTACCTGTATCATTTAGTTCCATATGGGTTGTAAAATAGTGATTTTCCTGACTTTATCATTTTGCACTGATTAGCTGGAATTCTGCAGTACATTCACATAATGGGGTGCTTGATAACTACAAAAAAGAATATGGAAAATCTCTATATACAGACATAGAGTTATTGCCAGGACTTTTTTTTTTTTTAGGTGAAAAAAGAGGTCATATTTAGAGCAGTGTATATATTAGTTTATATTTGTAGATACAGACAATGGAAGATTAAACCAAAAACTAATAAAAATAGTTATTTAGGGGGAGGGATCAAGAGTGAAACAAGATATCTCTGAATTATTGTAAAGTTTTGACATTAGAATTAGGTAAATTTTGTTTACTCCAAAAAGATTATTAAGTGGAAAAAAAGATGAAAAGCAGTCCTTAAAAATTAAAACAAAAACAAGCAAACCAGTTTATCACGTTGGATACATTCTGATACAGAAAAAAAAGTATTGTTCTAACTAATCTTAAAACTCAGTATTTTGTATGTTCTCAATGGGAAATAATCCAAGGACAAAAAGAACTACAAAGAAATCTTTAATAACTTTACATTTATAATAATATTAGAGTTGTCATTTTGGAACTATTTTAGTATATTGTAGGATAAAACAAATAAGTAAGGCTGTTACCATTAGGAATCAAGGTTTTCAGCAAAAGAGAAGAGAGATGCAGGCATAAAATCAAAAAAGTTAAATTAAAACACCATCATCTTAAATTTGAATTGGAAATGTCAATGTGAATTGATTATTCTTTTTCTTCTATTTACAAATGTATTATGTTTTCTATCTATACGTATTGTAGAAGTCTGGAAGTAATAACAGCACACTAGCAGTGAACACCCTTATTATCCAGATTATGGTCTCTAGATACCATCCCTACTTAAAAGGAGCCAAGAATCTTTTTTGGATAAATGATTAATTTGAAGTCTGAAGGAGGAATGGTACAAAATGTCATGCCAGAAAGCAAGGAAGCTAACAAAGACAATGGGTTCATATCAAAAGGACACTGGGGTCAGCTTTAAGGGGATCTCACTGGCCAAAGATTGCATAGTTTGGCCATCAAAGTGAATAGTAACTAATTCGTTAAGTCACTTTGAGTTAATAAAAGGCATGAATTCAGAATAATACTAAAAATATAAAGGGAAGCAAAAAATAAGCAAAGCAGAACTCATTGAACATCATTGCCATTTCTATGGCATCAACTCATTCTGAAAATTGAAAAAACTTTAAAAACAAGCATTTACTCTGCTTTTCCAGTAAGAAAGATATTCAGAGAAACCAAATTCTTGATGTTGAAAAAAGCATTATTTAAATTTTGTTGTGGAGTTTAATCATGCAAATAAGGTCTAAATTTATTCAGCATTTTTGCTTTGAGTTTTTTCAAGAGTGCTTTGAACTGAGCTGTCCTATTAAGTTATTTTACTGTTACAAAGCCAGATTTAAATTTTTTTTTTATCTTCTTGCTTTTCTGTATGTTAACATCCTATATATAGAATAATAAATTTTATTCTTGTTTGTTAACATTGTTCTTTTGTTTTGCTTTCAATTGCCTTTTCAGCAGTATCCTGGTATGAACCAGCTGTCCTCCAGTCTGGGAGGTTTGAGTCTTCAGAGTTCTTCACAACCAGAAAGTTTGAGACCTGTAAACCTTACTCAGGAGAGAAATATTTTACCCATGACTCCTGTCTGGGCTCCTGTACCTAACTTGAATTTAGACCTCAAAAAATTAAACTGTAGCCCAGAGTAAGTATTTAATTTATAATCTTTAGTAAGTAAAACCTTGTCAAAAACGTTGTGTGACTTTCAAAAATAGTAAAAGTACTATGGTATTAATTCCTTGATTGGAAGTTTTGTTAATGTGAACTCTTGTAAATTAGTTTGTATAGAAATTCTAGATGTAAAATTCAATTTAGGTCATTGGATCCTGTCCCCATCTCTGTCGCCATCCAATCTCATTCCCTATCATCTAATGCTAGGAAAATTTTTTTCTATTTTAGTGAAGGGTTTTAGAAACCCAAATCTAACTATATTTTTTTTTCTTAAATTTCTTTTTCCTCACTTTTCACCAGTAGTAACTTCTGATGTCTTCTAAATAAGGTGAAATCTTTAAAATTTTATGCACTTCAGTCTCTGCTTGAAAAGGATACAGACGTCATTTGTGTGATCCCAAGAACAGGTTTAGATAAATAATTTTTCTCTGAATTTTCTTTTCCCACTCAGTGTAGAATGAGAAGACCATTGCCCCCAGGCATATTTATCCAGCCTGAATTTAGATTTGGATTTTCTTTATTGAATATTTCCTCACCTTATGGAGAAGTTTAGCTGGCAGCCTCCATCTGGTGGCCACAAACCCCTGGTGTATCGTCTGGGTTGGATGAGCTCTGTTACTTACCTCATAGTGCCCCCAAAACCAAAAGTTCTCTGTTACTACCTGCTTTCCTTTCTTCTGTCTCCTAAGAATAGGATATTCCTCTGCACCCAGACATCCTCCTGCTTGTGGAATCTCTCCTCAAAAAGTAAACTATGATTCACAGACAACATTCACAAACAACTCTGATTCACAACAACATCACAGACAACATTTCTTCCTTGTAGGATTAGT